TGTACAGTACCATTTGCAAAATTATTTAAACTGCCTCGTTAAAATTTAAGAATATGCTTTATTTAAAAGCATATTTAGCCAAAAATAATAACAAGTGAATTAACTTAACGTTCTACACACCTATAAAACTTTTGCTTTGTTTTCTATTGTTAATTTATATACATTTTTGTTTTATGAAATTGCTAAACATTTTCGTCTAGTACTGTACAGTTCCCACCGAGAGTTCTGATCGTTCAAGCTTGTTCCAACTATTTCTGTCTTGCTTACGCCTAGTGTTTATTCTTTCTATTTTCGCGCAGATTTCTTCAAGGTCACAATTCTAACTAATTGAAATAGACTGTACATATTTACTCAAGCGGAAACCATTAACTGATACTGAGCGTCGAATTTACTTTATTTCATTTTGGTTCTGTGAAAGCTAGTGAAACATCACTTAAGCGATTTGAAACCGATAAGGCGCGATAGGTTTCACCCATTTGAAATTTGAAGTATGTCGGTATTTATTGAAAAAGGTAAGAAGACTAGACACTAGAGTAGAAACTACATAAGGACTCGTAATGGAAGTCGTATTGGTGCGCATTCAATTTAATACGTAGACTAGGAGATTTTGACGCTTTCCAAACCCATTCGCGTCAGATAAAGCTTCTTCTCTCATCTCTAGTTTTCTAAGAAAACGTATACCAAGATAATACCAACTTGCTAGTAGTTTTAAGTTAATTAAGCTATCCAGTTGGTACAGCTGTGTAACATGAACTTTTTTGAAATAGGGAAGTTATAGATTTTCCAAACGGTTTAATTTTAATACATATTTTGCTCAATAAACAAGAATTTTAAGTATTCTTTTTATATACTTGATTGATTTCTTACAAAAATTAAGAAATACAACGAACAATACAATACAATTTTGGGGAAGAAATTGGAATAAAATACAGCTAACATACTTGCCAGGCATAAAGATTTTTATGGTGGCTAACTGGAAATCCTGAAGTCCTCCACCATAAGTTCCAGTGATCTCCATTTTCTGGACTAAATTCTTTCCATCCTCTTTCTAAGCAAACCTTTTCAAAAAAATCTACTTAATTTTATTATATTATTTTATAATAAGAAATAAAATTTCACTACCNATCACACTACATTTGAATTGTGTACTTTCTATCATTTTATACCTAATGGTAATTTGGAAGAAGTATTTGTGTGTATCTAGTCCAGGCAATATGGGCGGATAAGAAAAATTATTTGGATTAATTTTTTTTTCGCAATTTTGTTACATTGTTTGACACAATTGATTAACCAAGTGCCAAAAGACATCTTTTGGTCGAAACAGTTTTTTTATATTCTTTGGTGTAATCTCCATAAAAAAAGTCTGAAGTTTTATTTTCTAAAGTTAATATTTTCCGAGTTATGAATTTTTGTCTCGTAACTGTGACTAACTACCTTAAGAATACGATCTCTAACCTCTTGTCCTGCATGTTTTAGAATTTCCCCCTGTATCCCATCTACACCTGGCGCCTTATTATTCTTTAAGTTTTTTAATGCTACATCGAACTCCTCTCTCATTATGGGATAACCTAGCTCATCTACCTCCACACTATGTTCCTTCTCTAATTCGTCTCCTAACTCAGGGCCTGCGTATAGGTTTTCTAAATATTCTTTCCACCGATCTGCCTTTTCCTCATTTTCTATCAAAATGACCCCTCGTTTCTTACATTATTACTGCTGTATCCTACATTTCTAAAATTCCTTTTAATTATATTATACGCCTCATCGGTTTTACCTATTTCAAACTTCTCTTCTACTTCTTTACACATCCTATCATTCCACAGTTGATTAGAGGCCCTACACTTCCTATTTATTTCCCACTTAGTAGCCTTATATCTCCTTTGCCCTTCTTCGTTTGTCATGTTTTTGTATTTCCGCTTTTCTTCTATTAATCCTAAAATCTCATTTGTTATCCAGGGTTTACTACATTCATTTAAGACCTACTATATCTGTAGCTGCTGACTTTAGGCATGTTTTAATGCAGTTCCATTCTGTTTCTATGTCCTTTCATTCGTTTCTCCCGCCGCCTTTAGTATTTCGTCTGTCCTTTTACCTAGCCTATCACGCGTTTTGTTATATTTTAGCTTTTCTAACTCAAGACGTATCCTACCTTTCCTCTTTTTCAGAATTTTCAATTTAAGATTTGTCTTCATAACTACTTTGTTATGATCGCTATCTATATCTGCTCCTGGATAACTTCTACAGTCTTGATTTTTAAATCTTTGCCTAACAAGTATGTAATCTAACTGATATCTCCCTAAATCAATTGGCATCTTCCACGTATAGCGCCTCCTAACGCGACGGTTAAGTTATGTTTATCGCAAAATCTCCCTTATCATTTCTATTGCCTAATCCAAAAGAATCTGCTATTGCACTCACTTTACCTTCATTTATTATTGCGTTGAAGTCTCCTACAACTATTAGGTTTTCCTGACCTTTCACTAAACTTAACACGTCTTCTATATCTCCATAAACTGTTTCTACGTCTTCATCACTGTAAGATGATGTAGGCATGTAGACCTGCATTAATAAGTACAATTTTTACCGGCTTCGAGTTTAATTTAACCATCACTATCCTATCGCTTTTTTGTAAATAACTTTCTACACTCTGCCCTACTTTCCTACGCATTACAATTCCTACCCCCGAATTACCTTCTACCGATCCTGTATGTATTACTGTAAAGTCTCCACTCCTCTCCTGCTTCGGGCCAACGGACTTCTCTAATACCTACTACATCTAATTCTAATCTATCCATCTCTACTTTTAAATTTTCTAATTTCCCTACTTGTCTTATTGTCCTAACATTCCACGCTCCGACTCTGAAATATTGAACCTATCCCTATTGCACTTATTAAGGACATGACCAACACTGAATTTAGGATAAAGAATGAAAATATGATAAAAATAACAATTTAATCATGAATGAGGTGCTAAATTTTCAATAAAAAAATTAAAAATAAAAATAAAACAAATAGTAGAGGACCTAACGAAAAAATTATTGGACCTTAACTGACCTAATGAAGACCTATCGATGAAGGTCATTATCCTCTCCCAAATCTTTTGATGAGATGCTAAATTTACATAATAGCCGTTTTTTGTTAGAGAAACTGTCTATTAATATTAATTTAGAAAAAATAATGTTTTTCTTCATGAACCTTAAATTCCGAACGCGTATACGTACAAAATACAAATTTTACAGGTCTGTTTAGCCATCGTTTAAAAATGCTAAACAAATAATGTTTTAAATTATCATAATTGACAATTGCATGTTTTAATTTAAAAGAGCAATCTAGATAACTATTTAAGCATAAGGTCTTCTTTGTAAAAAAAATATTTTATTGCTTGTAATTGGGTTAAATGGAAATCGTTTTGAAACATGCAAACATAGGCTACCTTACCTGTAGCAACATTCAAGTAATAATAAGTTGCGGATTTATGAAGCTATAATCATAACAAATTGAAAAGGTAGGATTGAAAGATTAATAAGCTAATGTTCTTTCCTTAAAATGATATTATTAAAATGCTACTAAACTATACTGCTATTTTTACGTGACGGCTTTTATTATACATTTGCTATTTTACATATTAAAATTAGATTTATTTAGTATAGTTTACTGTCAATATAGAAAAAAATACTTCTATTTTGAATGAAATTCGTCTATAGAGATATCGCAAAATTACAGATAGAAATCTTAAATAATGTATACTATTTATAGCTATGCTAGTTTTCTATAATGCATATTTTACGGTTACTTGGTTAGTTCGTAAACTAGCTGAATCGTATTGGGATCCGTCAAATGGCAATATTTATAACTCGAATGAGGAAAAAATTTACATTGGAATAAAACACGTTAAAAAAGTAAAAATTTTTTTTGATGATGGAGTCGACGAAGTTTTCTTCTAAAGTTAAATCAAATAAAAAGTTAATAGCTATGTTCAGTGAAAAGCTGCAATAGCACTTCAGACATAGATATTCACTCTTCCCCTACATTAACTACTTTCCAATAAAAACTAACCGTTTTATAAGTATATGTAAAAAATATATTCGGAAAATTACAGAAAAAAGTAAACTAATAGAAACTTGGATGAAAGCAGTAGGTATCAAAGAAGTGAATTCCGGAATAAAAATTTGTTCACGTCATTTTAATGCACATGATTATCGTATTTCAGCAAGTATTTACCATCAGCCATAACCTTAATATTTAAAACTAGAATCATACTAAAATTATAAAGTGAGAAAATATTTATTCCTGTGTAATTGATTTAACACAATTCTAATGATACGATATAAGTATTTTGAGATTAAGAACCTACCTGCTGCAATACAACAAAGTTGCAATAATGTGTTTGCAACGTTCTCTTAAATCGGCTTTGCACGTGCAAGCCATTGATATGATATTACTTAAAACACCCAAAATCACCTCACCAATTATATAACGTGAATCACTTTTTAAATCCGAAGTTTGTAAAAAGTAGGCAGTAAACTTGACGGAATTTGAAGGCTAGCTTCCGGATTTGTTATTTCCCAATTTTATAATTGATTGGCATTAAAAACACGCTCACATTCAACAAAATTTCCTTTCCGAGGCTTTGTGTCAGCCCAATCAAATATTGTGTCAATACTTATCATTTTATCGTAACTTAAAAACTTGGAAATTGCACGGTACACTATAGAAACTACGAATCGGCGCCATGTTTTTAGGCTCCTCCCATTTGACGAATCCCAATACAAACTGTTGAAATATCTGTTTTGTCGAATTAGCCTACCATCATAAGGTTACGGCAGGAAACGACAACACCCACAAGATTAGTGTTATCTTTGCCATCTATTTCATTTCGTGGGTGTTGCCTTCTTCTACATTAATCTTAAGGGAAATCCCTGTAGCGCCGGACAGTACGTAGTACCGGATAAAACACGTCCAAACTTGAAGTAGCGCTCATACTATATAGCATTTGTGTAAATGTTACCGGCCAAACCCGATTTTAAGACAAACTAGTTTTTCATAGGCCAAATCAGTTCATCCTTTAGGCGATAGAGTAAACCGGTACAGACTATGTTAAACTGGTCCATCCTATGGCTGATATGAGAAACTAGTTTAACCTAGGCTGAACTAGTCGAGCCTAACATGATTAAGTACACTTCAGGATAAAATGGTTTGACCTAGTCTATAAATAGGAAATAGTAAAACACCAGAACTAATAAAATCATGATGAATTTACTTATTAAATCAAAAACAAGTAACACCGTCGTCAATTCAAAGCAGAATGAACGTTTAAAATCAATAAGCGGGGCAAGTGGAATATGATCGGGAAATTTCTGCATGCACAGGTCTCGACAGGTCTCGCTTAAAAATTTTGGAGTAGATAGAATTAGTTTAGACTAGGCCAAACCGATTTATCCTAAAGTGTACTTATTCATACTAGGCTCGACTAGTTCAGCCTAGGTTAAACTAGTTTCTCCTATAGGCCATAAGACGAACTAGTTCAGCCTAGTCTATATCGGTTTATCCTATCGCCTAAGGACCTACTAAAAACTAGTTTGTCCTGCAATCGGCTTTGACCGGTAACATATACAAAGTTGTCACTCTTAACGAACAAATCTGCTTCACAAGCGAGTAATATGTATATTATAAAGGCAGGAAATCTTTAGGGTTAAATATACAGAGGCAAAAGATTAGCGCGCTCAGATTTGTGGATGATTATGCATGATGCAGCATTAGCATCTAGCCATTAAAAAAAAAGAAAAAAAAGAACATTTGGGTGTTTCATTCCCAACGGCTGTCAAACTGGTGGGCGCGCAGTCCCACCGGACTTGATATGAGGGTAGGGTGGAAGTCAGTCTCCTTTTAGGAATCGTGGGAATAGGTGAGTGGTGGTGGTTGCGGCAAGAAAGATGAGACGAACGAAATGAAAACAGAAGGGAGTAAAAGATTATCTGTGGAATATTACTGCCCCAGTATTTGCCTAAGTGATCAAATAAACCACAGAAAAATTTGTACCAGAATTGAACCAGTGTCCTCACGAATGCTAAGCAATGGCCTAAACCTCTAGGCCACGCCGTCCGGTACAATAAAGAAGTTGATTTTCAATATTTGAGAAGTCAAATAAGTCAAGATTTTGAGTCGAGTCTTATTGAATAAAATTCGTAAAATATTGTGAAAAGTATAAGTTGGTAGGCGAAAGGGTGGCATAAAAGATAAAGTGAATATGTGGTGTTATAGAAAATGGTGAAAATACAGAGGAAGAAAAAGATTAGAAATATGAGAGCAGTGGAAAAAATGAAGGAATGAACAAAGCTGTAGGTATCAATATAAAAAAGGGGAGATACACTTTATAAGATATGAAGTACTGAAGTACTACTTCGAGACATAAGACGCGGAGATGAGAGTAAAGATGGGCAGAATATTCTTAGATTAGATTATTGTTTCCAATAGATAGTAACGATATAGGATCTTGTAGTTTTCTGGAAATGCAAAAATTGATTATGAATATTAGGAAGAAGTGGAGGTGCGTGTCAAACCAGTTATCGAACTGACGAATGTGTCATATTGATATGAATCATAATAATAGACTCAGAGCAGTTAATTGAAACCATTTATAAGAATATTTGAAGCATATAGAACTTGTGGAGCAGTGAAAGTTTGGAATCGGGTAACATTTGAATAATGGTAATTTTTGCAAACTGAAATTGTTTCCAGTTCGTATTATTAATCCCTTAACTCCACGGCACAGAATTATAAACACCAAACGTTTTATAATAAGTTATTACTTCAGATCTTCTTCCACATAACCTGTTTATTTTCGTTATTTATTAGTTAGGTTTTGTGTATTTTAATATTAATTAATAATTAATTCTACAAAAACGTGCAGCTTGAAAGTAATTTCAGGCAGTGCTTTACGTAAATTAGTTCCCGCCGTGAACAATTACCTTAAATTTCATTTATAAATGGACGAACAACAACTCTGTCAGAAAGGTTAAGTAACAATAGCATTGAAAAAAGAAAAGAATATCATGCATAAAAGGTTTCAGAAAGAAGGTCAAAAAAAATATGGGGTTTTCAGATCGATTTCTGTTCGGGAACTGGTTTCAAGCCGATCGTCTATACGATGATGAATTGAATCATGAGTTTATTTCTTGAAATCTGTGTGTGAAGTCACGTAAAAAGTTCTACCTTAGGCCACATAACAAATATCGTATTGTCTGTATCACAAGTAGATTCAAAGTTCTGCTTCTATCAGCTTTAATTTTGATCCGTACAGACTACGTCTGATTTTTATAATTCCACTGCAGGGTTTATTGACAGGAAACAATGACCGCAAAAATTGCCCATTTCTTTATCCTCGAATTTCGTTTTAAACTTAATAAGTAATAAGAGAGCATGCATACAAATTTGAAGATTAGCATAATGTTAATGTTTGTGGGATATGAACAACTGAAAAGTTGCGATATGCGTGATACAATGTAAGAGCATGTCATAAAATACGTAACCTTATAGACAGATAATACTCATGAGATATAGGAGAACACTAAGGTTAGGCGCGCACTACAAGTGAATTCTTGAAGGTCAGTTTAGTGATTAGGTTACGACCGCATTAACAAACTAAACTGTTTAGTCCCACATCTATGCGTTCATTCGAAATAAACTGTTGTTTAAAAGATCTGCATCTCAGGCAATGTTAAAATGAATTTGGTAGAGACGAAAAAAACATAAGAATAAAAGATACTGGAGCTAGTTTAATTATATATATATNTTATTACTTATTTAGGCCACCGCGGATCTTTATTATAACTAATAATAATAAATACTTTCATTTTTCCTTATTTTTACTCTAATATAGAGGATTATTTTAGTTCCATAGAAATAATTAATAAATATACAAATTTTTTGATACGACATTCGGATTCTGCGTTGAAGAATACTGAGAATATTGTAAGTGGTCCGTTATAACTAACGTAACCATACGTGCAGTTTTGAACGGGACCATCCCTTTCTTTGATTATCGGTCTCGATGTCCCCCTCTGGGACACACAATTGTCCCGTTTTCTGAAACCGTGCGGAAATTATGCAACTCGCTAGACGCGTCAGTCAATTTGGCTCAGAAACAGATTAATCACTTTCTTCCATTTACTGTTAGTAGTTTAATGGCGAAATTAAAAAACAATGGTACTGAAATTAATAAAAATTTACGATAAGTACGGCTACAAAATTTTATAAAACAAACCGTGATTATCTTACTCTCCTACTGAAGAAATTATATATTTAATTGGGCAGATTTAAAAACAGTACCCGCATGAAAAGACGTTCAAAAAGCATTGAATTCTCTGACTGATTAGGGATATATTGATTGTAATAAAGATACAGAAATATTTGACGAATCTTAATTAATTTCTAAGTACATCACATTGCAAAAATTAACCGAATCTAATAATCTAAATGTTTCCACAGAAACTCGTTGGGTGCAAGTATTCGAAAACTTTTACGCCAACAATCTTCAACTCAAAAACTTTTGTATTTTAATTGAATATGTTTTTTGTTTGCTTGCTACAAATGCCTCAGAGTATTTTCTTTTATGAACAAATTGTAAACTTCTGAAAAATCGCAGTTAGAGATTCCAGTTCTGAAGGCGATGTTGATAAAAAAATGTGCATAGAATTTTATTTTTATTTAAAAACATCACCAGGTGTATTAAAACAAATTCGTTTCTCTGGCAAATATAAAACATTAACAAATGTTCTTTGTTTTTCATTGATAACCGACGTCTCGTTTTGAGTAAAAAAATAAATGGTCACATTAATTATAGATCACAACTTATTCTATAGTGCACACATCTCGGCATCACGTCACAACTGCAACTCCTCATCACTCAGAAACCAAACGTCCGGAGACAAAAATGTTCAGTCTCTCAGAGTCTCTGAAAGCTAGACTCGAGTCTCTGCCTCTCATCGAGTCTTTCCGGTGTCGCAGAGAGTGACTGTCGAGAGACTGTCAAAAAAACTGTTTAGCGTCTCTGAACGAGAGACTCGAGCCGTTCATAGAGAGATCCTCATTTCGTATCCAATCTCTGAACGAGAGACTGGAGTCTCTCAATTTTTCAGTTTTATTAATTCAGTCTCTCTGTTAGAGACTCGAATCTCTGAATTAACAATTTTATCGTTCGAGCTTCTCATACTGAGACTGTGAGAGATCCATAAAAACACCTAGGCAATAACTGAGAGACTGTGAGAAACGCTCTCAGATACGCTGAAAGACTCTGACAGACTGGAGAGAGACTGAAAATTTTTATCGAGGGGTATGATTATTTTGAAATTTTATACTCAACATACTAATAATAATAAACTAAAAGAAAATTGAGGGGTAGAGAAAACGATTATTTTTTGTAAGCCAAGTTCGAATATTTGTGTTTTTACTTTATACTTTTTGACCTTGCAATAGGTACCTATGAGTTCAATGATAATATGCTTCCAACAATTTGGATCAAACTTAAAAATTATAAATTTAGATTCTTTTTTATTTATCATGATGGAAATAAAATTTGGTAGATGTAATAACTACTTATAAGGTAAACTTTTGATAGTTATTAGAAATGTAAAAACAGAAAGGTTTGATATAGTCGTAATTTATTAGAAAGGTACCAGAGAAAATAAAATAATTTCTTAAACGTTTACAAAAGGTAAATGCCCGATTGAAGAACGGATAAAAAGGGTGTAAAGAAGGTGGGTGAACAGCGGGACTGTGTCCTCGCGTGATAAATGCTTACTTACCTGTGTCAATAAGTGCGGCCCAGATCCGCCGTCATTTAAACGAAATATGAAAGGCCCATCTCCGAAACATTCCTCGAACATGATCGATTTTTAGCTGTCTTCTATTTTACTCTAAATTCTCTTAGTTGGTTTACCTAAAATTAAAACATTTTGTAAGTTTCTATAATAAATAAATATAAATAAAAATAATGTAAGGGGTTCATAGTCATATAATACACAATATATATTTTCATTGAAATTATGTAGATACATTAACAGTTAAATTCATTTATCATTGATTCAATGTATCACCTTACATTGGAATATTAATTTGAAATCATTTTTTCGATTTTTAATTTACCCACTACAAAAATTATTTCAAATTAATGAGGGAAAAATTGTTGCTGTTGTTAATAAAAATCGACGGATCGTTAACCTTGTAGGTTGGTTGGTCGTGGTTGCTGTTGTCACCTCTCGTAGTTTAGTGGTCAGAACCTTGGTGGGTAAAGTAAAAGGTCCCGGGTTCGATTCCCGGCGGGGATGTGACAACAGCAACAATTTTTCCCTCATTAATTTGAGGTAGTTTGTAGTGGGTAAATTAAAAATAGAAAAAACGATTTCAAATTAATATTGCATTTTAATCCACTATTAAGTAACTAACAATGTCATAGGATTTCATATATTTAATATACCTTGCATTGATTTGCTTCTTCTTATTAATTAAAGAACATAGTACACATACGTTAATTTAATGTTTACTACATGGACGCAGTACATTTTAGTATATCAGGTTTTAACACCAGATACATTAGTTGTACATAAAACTAATGTAATCTGTACATGCACGATGCGCTACTTAAATTGACCCCTTTCACCTCTTAGATATATGTATTTTAATTTAATGTTTATTACATCGAAACAATACAATTGTACATCAAGATACATATTAGTTCATTGTAGGACACCTTCTTAGGGGTGCAAGGTCTAGTCAGAGATATATTACAGGCAGAAACAGGAGTTAGGATGGGTAGAGGTAGACCTAGATTAGATTACTGTTCGCAAATAGTTAAGGATAAGGGGTGTTCTAGTTTTAGGGAAATGCGAAGATTGGCGCAGGATAGGAAGGAGTGGAGGTGCGTGTCCAACCAGTCTTAGGGCTGATGATGATGATCGTTATAAGTTCGTCAGTCCTAAGACTGGTTGAAGACGCACCTCCACTCTCCACTCATTTCCTTAAAACTAGAACAACTCGTATCCTTAAACAGTAATGTAATCTAGGTCTACCTCTACCTCTCCTAACTTCCGTTTCTGCCTCCAACATGTCTCTTGACTAGACCTCTTTATGCCTGAGAAGCTGTCAAGGTGTCCTACTAATCTATTTCGCTTATTTCTGATTGACTTCCATAGAGTCCTCCGTTCTCCTATTCTTTCTAATACCTAATATAATCATCTCTACTTTTAAATTTTCCAATTTCCCTACTTGCCTCATTGCCCTAACATTCCACGCTCCGACTTGCGAAATATTGCACCTACCCCTATTGCACTTATTGATGACATCCCCCGAGGTAGTCCCCGCCCGGCCATCCGAATGGGGGACTAGTTTACGTCTGGAATGCTTTACCCCAGAGGACGCCATCATTTAATTTCGGTGAGTTTTACTTGGTAAATCATAATGTGGTGGTTTTCCGTTGCCTTCCACATCGCAGTATTGTGCATCATAGTGCCATACCGATCCTCGTGATCTCTGCCCTCTTTCAGGTTCTTGTTTTAGTCTAGTTTCTCATTAAGAACCCCCCATTATGGTTGAACCTATGGTCCTAAATTATTGAAACTTGCAAGCCGGTTTTGTTTGTATAAGAGTTTCGTCAAGGTACAAGTCGCCTCGGATCAGTTGTTTTTTTATAATATGGACAAATTTAGTAACATTTAATAAAGTTACTGCACTAGTGAAAGTATATTTTTTATCTTTTAAAATAGGTGATATTGTAATATAAGAATTGGAAGTTACAAATTTTTGACTCACCACATCTTTTCATTTTTTTCTTCATATTTTAAAAGGTTTCTCTTTCATAATCGCTTCATATGAGAGGCTTGTTGTTACCAACCTATGGAAATACATAATTGACTTATGTACAATTAAGATTTTACCTATTATCACTAATCACTACTGTTGCACGGGTAATACTTTCAAAAGCAATCTGTCGACATGCGTTTTAAGCAACTCCTACAGATCGTTTCCCAATAGTTCCTTTCTGTATTCCCATAATGACTTTATATTCGACAATTTGTTTCTTATAACTATTTATTTACTCCTACACACCCAAGTTATGTTTGCGATTGCTAAGTTACGTGCTATAAAGTTTCGTTTATCGGTCGTCATATTCTTATCAAATATTCTTCTAAATTACAATTTTATATCAAGTACTTTGACCAACATTTTCTTCCTGTGCCCATGCGGGCATGCAATATCAATTTGTTGCACGTAATGCTGAATAAAATGCTTCCCGTATTGTTACGTTTGCGGTAGCCGTGGCTACTGTGCTAACCTACATCTTTTTCAGCCATTTCAAAGAAAACGATCAGCGTTTTATGGCCCTTTTAATTTTGTAGATAAAACGCGGTATGACGCGACAGTCGGTTATTACACTTACTATAAAATAAAGTGGGTGGACGAAGTATTAACCTCGGCTTTTTCTATTAGATAAACTAGATAGGTAGGTATACGTATTTATTGTTCTAAACACGTATCTAACAATAAGCATAAGTGATTTTTAATAGGCAACTTCCTCCCGTGGTATTTGAATTTCTCTCTATTAAATATTAACTAGATATGTATTTATTTATCATTCTTATTGGGATCCGACAAATGGGCATACACCATCCGGTGGCAAAATTTATAACTCGAATGAGGGAAAAATTTGCATAGGAACTGTGTACGCAAATTGTAAAATTGTTTATTAAAATAATAAAACACGTTAAAAAAGTAAAAAATTTTTTGATGATGGAGTCGACGAAGTTTTCTTCTAACGTTAAATGAAATAAAAAGTTAATATGTTCAGTGAAAAGCTGCAATAGCACTTCAGACTCTTCACCTACATTAACTACTTCCAATAAAAACTAACCGTTTTATAAGTATATGTAAAAAATATATTCGGAAAATTAGAGAAAAAAGTAAACTAATAGAAGCTTGTATGAAAGCAGTAGGTATCAAAGAAGTGAATTCCGGAATAAAAATTTGTTCACGTCATTTTAATGCACATGATTATATTCGTATTTCAGCAAGTATTTACCATCAGTCATAACCATAATATTTAAAACTAGAATCATACTAAAATTATAAAGTGAGAAAATATTTATTCCTGTGTAATTGATTTAACACAATTCTAATGATACGATATAAGTATTTTGAGATTAAGAACCTACCTGCTGCAATACAACAACGTTGCAATAATGTATTTGCACCAATTATACAACGTGAATCACTTTTTAAATTCGAAGTTTGTAAAAAGTAGGCAGTAAACCTGACGGAATTTGAAGTCTAGCTTCCGGATTTGTTATTTCCGAATTTTATAATGTGGTTGGCATTAAAAACACGCTCACCTTCAACGAAATTTCCTTTCCGAGGCTTTGTGTCAGCCCAATCACATATTGTGTCAATACTTATCATTTTATCGTAATTTAAATTGGAAATTGCACGGTACACTATAGGAACTACGATAAATTTTCCCTAATCGTCGCCATGTTTTTAGGCTCCTCCCATTTGACGGATCCCAATAGTTTTAAAATTATCTATAAATGTAAACTCTTTATAACTTCACTCGATTTAACGACAAATTCTTTAAAACGTCGAAATTGCTTGACTTTGGTTGGTTTACCTTGTTTTTTATACAATAATACTTTCTATATCCCGACTAGAATTTATTAGGGGCATGCCCTATATAGCGTGCGGGCCTCATGTGACTAATGAGGGGCATGCCGATCCCGACTAGAATTAATAGGGGGCATAGCTAGGGTTGCCACCCGTACTTTATTATAAAGTATTGTACGTTATTTAGGATAATTGTACTCTATGTTTTATGCGACAAATAAAGTACACGAAAATACTTTATTTCAGATGATTTGATTTCTCTGAGATTTTAAGATATAATATACAGAAAAAGGGTGGTAGTAAGAATTTTTGCGTAAAATATGACAGAGTTATTGAGATCGATAAATAAATAGTTTAATTTTAATGACTCAAACTGATTACTTACACATAGCAATATAATTTTAAAAAGTAATGTTAAATTTGATAATTTTGTGAAAATAGTCGAAAATTTAAATCTGCAAAAACTTAATGTAAATATGGATGATTTTTACGGAGAACTTTCTTTATTAAACAAATTATATAATCAGATATATAGTTCTAATGGTTTTGCGGAGTTATCTACTGCACAAAAACAGCAGCAGGTATTTAATAAGAGTGATGATAATTACTCAAATTTTTTTATTACTTTAAACTTTCATTTTTATTATTTATACAGAGAGAGTTTTATCTGTGATGAACGTAAAAGCGTCTCAAAATCTGATAAAAAATGAACTACTTATTTACTTTAACTTAAATCTAGACTGTAGAGATGCTGTGGAATTGTTTAACAGTGATAATTAATTGTTAAAAGTAATGAAAAATATGATTTAAGCAAAATGATAGAGTAAAATAAATTGTACTCTATTTTGACTCAGTGTACTTTTTTTTCTACCTTTAATAACCAACGTCCTTTATTTAAGGCGGGGCATGTCGATATAGAGATAAAAGAAGTAGTGATAATAAAAAGAGGGGTTGCCTTATGGGTTTTTCATATGGGTCTTAAGGGGCAAACCAAACACATGTGTAAATTGACAATTAAATCTGTCTTAATGGGGGTTAAATGAGATAAATCCGTTTGAAAATACTCTCGGTAAAATGAAAGAAACTTATAAAAAATGGTAACAATCCCGTTGCACAATTACATCGTCGTTTCAATGAAATCGTTTACATTTGCAGCGAACCAACAAGTGTACATTCTGATATTGTTATTATAAGACAACTGAAAACAGACGCATCAAGTCCAACATTTAACTCCATTTAACGTCTACTCTCTATAACGCCGAAAAATGAAGATATATATATCTTTATTTTTACACCTCGATGGTTGAATTGTTAGGAAAAAAGATGCAATTTTATAAAATGTTCATACATATTTTTATGAAACCTCTTCATAAAGAGTACAAATTACATATTTACATATTTTAGAATTCAATCATCAATAATAATTTTTTAATAAGTTACAAAATTAATCTAAATTTTTGCTGACTGATTTATTACCCGCCAAGTTGAAATCTATGAAGCCAGAAATATGAAGTTTGGACGCTATTTGTGTGTATAAATCCCAGCCCTTACTATGTAGCTATAATTTTCTCGCAAAAGATGCAACTTTCTGGAATAAACTGACTTTTAAAGTGTCTAATTAGAAGATGGTACTAGTGACCGAATTATTAGAAAGAACGATTCTTTTTGGTGAACTATACGAACTAGTTCGTACAATGAAAAAGAATTAGTTCACAGTGAACTGTTAACGTTTTAATGAATGAAAATATTAATAAAAATTAAACAATCGATCTCATTCGTATTGTTCGTTTGTCCATGGCATAAAGTAGAATTAGTTGACAGTGACTGTTGACTGAACTTAAAAAATAACAACATTCCTTTTTACATTAAACGAGTAATTGTAGACAACAGTTCGAAGAACTACTTCATATTGGGAAAGTAGTTCTCGAGAACTAGTTCGTTAAGAAGAACTGTTGGTTGGTTGGTTTTCTCTATTACCCGTAAAGCTAGAATGACTTTCCGCGTTCCTCTATTTCTTCTAAACCCAAATTGATCTTTTTTCCATCCTCCTCTGTACAATTCTAGTTATTTTAGACGCATGTTCTTTATTTTGTAACAAAAATTGCTTATAGATACATCTAACAAATTATCTTTGATAGACAGATTTTTTGTGGAATAACGATCGCAAATTCATACTACTTATATTAAGTACATATATCCACTTTTATTTAAGTTTCTGTTTCTTGTTGTTAATAAATTTACAACTTTTAAAAAGTCATTTTTTATTACTTATTTAGGTTCTCGTTCAATATATTTTTGGAAAGTAGCCAAAATTTTTTATAAAACTTCGGACGAAATAGATAAAGAAAAACATAAATGATATAAACAGGAGACTTAGCTTTACACCCTACCATAAAGGAAAATAGTAAATAATAGAAGTTAACCGTTAAGATGTATGTCTCGTTTAAAAAGCTGTTAAAGGACGGATATTAAAAATTCAATTAGGCGTTTAAATTTCGTTCACAGTTAGAAATTAAGCGAAACAAATTATTTTCGTTCAGAAAAATTGTGGGCTATTTTAGTATGATAAATGAGAATGGATTATTGATTTAACGAAAAACGATTTATCAAGCCAAACGGTGAGCGATGATGTTGTTGAATTTCGATAGTGATACGTAAAATCGTAGCAAATACACCCACATCATATCATGCATGACTTCGCTTACCTTTAGCAGGTCTGTTTCATTTTTTAGGGAACGTTTAGCGGATCGAGCACGTGTACTGATTTAAAACGAACTAAAATCAGGACTTCCATGCCCGAAACAAACGCTATCGGTGGTGACACGCGATTGTTACGCCATTCATTTATTCCCTTGGCTTTTAAGTTGTTTCTGATCCCCCCTCCTCTTTCTCTCTCTAGTCAATTTACCCTTTAAAACTCGCAAATGGTTATCTGAGTAGTACCACCACCCCTACACGTAGTGACATTTTATAAACCTGCAGAGTCTTTAATCCTTCTCATTAACGAGTCTCTTATTTTATATATTAAAACTACCTCTATAAGATATTCGTTTTAATTAAAGTTGCGCATTCTACAGCTTTTCAATTTATTTTATTACTTTTTCAACCTACGACAAAAGAAATAAACATAGTGATTTATGCAGTTTATGAACTTTTCATTCGAGTTGTGTGCATGTTTTTTGTTATTCACATATGCGGCATGCATTAATTGTCAATAAGCAATGTCAACATATTATCATCCACAGTCTGATTTTTTCTTAAGTGAACGATTGATTTTTAATTATCTGCCTGCAGCCCCCATGGGCGTAACGAAAGATTTTTCCTAGGGCAGCTATTAATTTATATAGGTTTAATGTGTTTGGTTTCTGTTTTTAATTTTTGTGCCGATATCGAGGGGACAATGAGATTGCTAGGGTGGGAGGGGGCAGTTCCCTACTTGCTCCTACCTATCTACGTCCATAGCAGCCCCTTGTAAATGAGATTTCGAGAATTAAAACCTAAAAAAACACTACAGCGTGGATACTGAGGGAGGGGACGGTGCAATGCGTGCAATTATCTCCTCTCCGTTGACTTACGATCGAATTACTTATTTATGTAACTTTTCAGGGAGTCCATTAAAAAAATAACGGGCGAAAACGTTCAACCACCATAACTTAATGTAGCTTAACATGATGTTTTTTTTAATGTCAAGCCTTCAAAAAATTTCAACGGAATTATGTTTGGAGAACCCCCCGTGAACACCCCCCGCAACCCCCTACGGCAATGGTCTCATTAAGTAGATATATAATATCTAAGAATATCTTGCTTTTACTATTGGAATCCGTCAAATGGGAGGAGCCTAAAAACATGGCGCCGATTAGAGAAAATTTATCGTAGTTTCTATAGTGTACCGTGCAATTTCCAAGTTTTTAAATTACGATAAAATGATAAGTATTGACACAATATTTGATTGGGCTGACACAAAGCCTCGGAAAGGAAATTTTGTTGAATGTGAGCGTGTTTTTAATGCCAATCATATTATAAAATTGGGAAATAACAAATCCGGAAGCTAGCCTTCAAATTCCGTCAAGTTTACTGCCTACTTTTTACAAACTTCGGATTTAAAAAGTGATTCACGTTATATAATTGGTGAGGTGATTTTGGGTGTTTTAAGTAATATCATATCAATGGCTTGCACGTGCAAAGCCGATTTAAGAGAACGTTGCAAACACATTATTGCAACTTTGTTGTATTGCAGCAGGTAGGTTCTTAACCTCAAAATACTTATATCGTATCATTAGAATTGTGTTAAATCAATTACACAGGAATAAATATTTTCTCACTTTATAATTTTAGTATGATTCTAGTTTTAAATATTAAGGTTATGGCTGATGGTAAATACTTGCTGAAATACGATATAATCATGTGCATTAAAATGACGTGAACAAATTTTTATTCCGGAATTCACTTCTTTGATACCTACTGCTTTCATACAAGCTTCTATTAGTTTACTTTTTTCTCTAATTTTCCGAATATATTTTTTACATATATAAAACGGTTAGTTTTCATTGGAAAGTAGTTAATGTAGGTGAAGAGTGAAGATCTATCTCTGAAGTGCTATTGCAGATTTTCACTGAACATATTAACTTCGTCGACTTAATCATCAAAAACATTTTTACTTTTTTAACGTGTTTTATTATTTTAATAAACAATTTTACAATTTGCGTGCACAGTTCCTATGCAAATTTTTCCCTCATTCGAGTTATAAATTTAGCCACCAGATGGTGTATGCCCATTTGACGGATCCCAATAAAAAATTATATTTTTTCAATTAATCTGCAGACTCGATTGTGTAATGATTAAAAGTTAAACTAATGTGATTCCTGGTCCGTTTGTAAGTCAATCGGTGCGGACAGGTATATTAAAAAATTAAAGTGGAAGTATATGGCGATACGAACACATTTATACCTGTAAAGTTAATAACATTTAGACATAACCACCGATGTTTGAAGCGACAATAATCGACACGCATATATACGTACTTATATTAAACCAACGATTGCAATTAAGTGCCAAGAAAGGAGACGTCTGTACAACAATTGAATAGTTTACTTAAGTTTATTGTTAGGGTATCGGTAATTATTAACGCAATCCTACAAATATTTAGAGATCAATTAGACTGTAAAACTACCCGATTGTTTGACTAACATTAATAACTAATAAGTTTCATTAGAGCGCAAGCGATCAATGAATGGCTAGAAGCACCATTACAATCAAATTCTTCCTATTTGCTTTGCCGTTGTTCCCTAGTTAGCTCTGGTTGTATACACAATGCATAAAATAGTCGAACGTAACGTTTTATAAGAAACACATTGTGCAAATAGTTGCATGTATCTACAGTGTACTTTGCTCCAGCCTTGTTCTTCCACAGGAACTTCAAAAAGTGCTTTATGTGAAAAAAAACTTTTGGGTGTTTCATTCCCACCATTCACTAATGCTGGTGGGCGGGCAGTCCCTCCGGACTACGCCGGAAGGTAGGATGGAAGACCTCCTTCAGCCTTCTTTCGGAAATCGTAGGAATTGGTGGGTGGTGGTTCGGGTGAGAAAGTTGAGAAGGACGCAATGAAGACAGAAGAGAATGAAAGATTATCTGCGGAATATTACTGCCCCTGCAATTTCCTAAGAGATCCAAGGAAACCACAGAAAAACTTGGACCAATGCAGACGAACCCAGAATCGAACCGGCGTCCTTCCGAATGCTAAGCAGAAGTGCTTTAGGTGAAACTTGTACGGATTTATGTGCTAAATATTTTAAAATAAATGAAGATCAAGGTCCAGTTATAAGGTAGGGAATTTGTTACCAAGATTATTATTTTGCTTATTGGTATCGCTAGTTTTTGCAGTACTGCAGCTGCCTAACATTTTACTCTCCAAGCTTAATAAGGAAGAAGCATTCTTCTGCAATACACGATATTGATAGGTATATTTTCTTATTAGTTTATTGCTTCCCAAAGAAAATAAAACAAATAAATTATACATACCAGTTGGATCCGTTCAAATTGGTTGTAGATTGTGCATACCTTACATTTGCCAATGGAAGAAACCTACATGATGTATATACTAGGGTCAATTGAAAAGTCCCCGGCCTGACACATAGATGGCGGCACCAGAACTAAATCCATATGATTTTCAGTTAGTCCTAACCTTCAAAAGACGCGTCTATAAATTTGACGGCTGTCGGATCATTAGTTTGTGAATTATAGCATTTTTAGTGAAGCAACTTTTGTCATTGTGGAAAAAATGGATAAAAAGGAATTTCGCGTGTTGATAAAATATTGCTTTTTGAAGGGAAAAAATACAGTTGAAGCAAAAACTTGGCTTGATAACGAATTTCCGGACACTGCCCCAGGAAAATCAACCATCAAGGATTGGTATGCTAAGTTTAGACGTGGTGAAATGAGCACCGAAGACGGTGAACGCAGTGGACGCCCAAAAGAGGCTGTTACGGACGAAAACATTAAAAAAATCCACAAAATGATTTTGAATGACCGTAAATTGAAATTGAATGAAATAGCAGACACTCTACAGATATCAACGGAACGTATACATCACATCATTCACGAATATTTGGGTATGAGAAAGCTCTGTGCAAAGTGGGTGCCGCGCGAGCTCACTTTTGACCAAAAACAACGACGAGTTGATGATTCAGAGCAGTGTTTGAAGATGATCACGCGTAATAAACCCGAGTTTTTGCGTCGATATGTGACAATGGATGAAACATGGCTCCATCATTTCACTCCGAAGTCCAATCGACAGTCATCGGAGTGGACTGCACACGATGAACCCGCTCCAAAGCGTGCAAAAACGCAACAGTCGGCTGGCAAGGTTATGGCGTCTGTATTTTGGGATGCGCGTGGAATAATTTTCATTGACTACCTTGAAAAAGGAAGGACCATCAACAGCGACTATTACATAGCGTTATTGGACCGTTTGAAGGACGAAATCGCCGAGAAACGACCGCATTTGCAGAAAAAGAAAGTCCTGCTTCACCAAGACAATGCACCGTCTCACAAGTCAGTGAAAACGATGGCAAAAATTCATGAATTGGGCTTCGAATTGCTTCCGCATCCACCGTATTCTCCAGATCTGGCCCCCAGCGACTACTTCCTGTTCTCAGATCTCAAAAGAATGCTCGTTGGGAAAAAATTTTCGTCGAATGAAGAGGTGATCGCCGAAACTGAGGCCTATTTTGAAGCAAAGGACAAATCGTACTATAAAAATGGTATCGAAAAGTTGGAGGATCGCTATAATCAGTGCATCACCCTTGAAGGAAATTATGTTGAATAAAAAAACGAATTTTGCAAAAAAAATGTGTTTTACTATTTTAGGCCTGGGACTTTTCAATTGACCTATGTCAATCAGGAAACCTATCCTAACCTAACCTAAACTCATGAAGCATAATACATAACACAAGCCAATCAGGGAATCTTCTGTCACCATAGCCTAACGTAAGGTCAAGGTGCATAACCTTCCCACCTGAGAATATTGGATCATATTTAACACGTCAAAAATTTGGTGGTTTGTAGTAACCGTAAGCGGTTTATCCACTAAAAGCCACGGCTAATATTGAAAATTGTGATTAAACGACAGCAGCATCGATACTCTAATAAGTAGGCCATATAGATAGAGAGAGATAGAGGCTTTTAATTTTATTCTTACAAGTTCATGAATGACAAATTAGTAACGACTTTCGTGGCCAGTAGACGAACTGATGCTGTCTAAAGACCGAAGTCGGTTGGAGTTGTTGAGTAGAATCAACTACAGATGACAGAC